TGTTCAAATTGCCAAAATTTACAACGACGAATAATTTTCAATAGGGTGGAGAAACACACCTCCTCTCGTGTTTTGTAGAAAGATCATTTTCTGACGTTTAAAATGATACCACAACCATTTTTGTGCGATGATAAATAAATCCATGAGCTCAATTTGAAGCGCACCCCCGTGGCAAGCACTTTCCGTTGGTAGGCGTTTTGACCCGATTCGTCGCCGCGCCGCGCCTTATGCAACCCAAGTGGACGCGACTTTGCGTGACTTCCCGGATTCTAAGACAGATTCTTGATAAATTGCGATGTACAGAGGGTTATCTCACTTCCCATAAAACTTAATTTGTTTATCAAGATGAATTTTCATCGGTATGGTTGGTATATACGGAGGGGAAAAGGGACAGAAATTCGTAAAAATCAACATGAAAGCGTATTCTCTTTTGGCCTTGGGGTATTTGTTGTCTGTTATAAGACGTGATATGAAATGGTTTGAAAGATCGACTAGCTGTTTTCGATGTTTTTTCTGGGAAGTTTTGCAATGACGGAGGAAAGGTGGAACACGATAGGATTATTTTGACCAAAAAATTACTTCGTACTTATTTAAATTCATTTGTAAATCTTGAGAGAACATGAACATTATTTTGAACTCCGTAATTAATTGACATTCCGGCCTTACACTAAAAGTTAGGCAGTACCGCATCATATCCTCGGTTATTGTGTGCCTTAAGCAGCGATTGTGCACGTATCGTAAAGGTCTTGGGGGAAACTTTTATTTGAGCTACAAAACTCTTCAGCAAAAATCATTATGATATGAATTGCCCTCCGCATGGTAGTGAATTTCGATCGAAAAATTCACATCTCCACGTTAGTCCCCCCACCCCTAGCGATTTGTTTTTTAATTTGAAGAATAAGAATTTTTTAAATTTCCGAAGTAAGAAATTTGAAATCATTGGAAGTCGGGAAAAGGAGGATGATGTTGGTGAAGCAATTTATCTGCCTCTGTTATTGCCTGTCTTTTAGAAATGGCCAAATTGAAATACTCGTGAGTAGCAAAAGGAATCATATCTCTGGAAAGGAGAGAACACCAGGGAATCTTCCAGCCTTACAGAAGGGCCGCTACGTGCATAATTTATGGATGATGAAATAAGAAAAGAAAACAAACATTAGGTTCTGAGTGTACAATTGAGATGATAGTCAAGCTGACTGATTCTTCAAACTCTCACAAAAATAGAAGAGTAAACTGAAAGAAAATATCATCAGCATAGGCAAGGCCAGGTTATTTCGGCCCCCCCCCCCACCTCCGAAGAATGATGGGAGCGTTGAAACCCCTCCCCCCTCCTCCACCGTACAGTTCAAAAAGCCTCTCCCTGAAGTTTGTTGTAATTTCAGCTATAATCGGACGAATTTCGAGGTCTCCGTGAGGACATTTTTTCTAAAAGGGCTTCTTATGACCATAAGAATGATTCCTGAAAGCGGCAATTTCCAATCAAAAAGTGCAGGGTTTTTTTGTGTACCCACCGTACTAGATTGGGTGTCCCCCTGGAGGCTCGCGGACTGTAGGAGTGCTTAACAACCAATGACGCCTCGTCACTTCGAGAGATACCGAGCCGTCCCGATTGGCTCCTGCCTCATCACGGAGGCGAAACTGCGTCCTTCTACGCCTTCGATCACGTTTCCAAGGGGGTTCATGGATAAAAAAAACTGTGTGTTTTGACGTCCGAGTTAGAGGAGAACGAGCATACAGGGAGGGTCATAAAAACCAATGATGGATGAATGCGTGATGATGTGACGATATTTTAGAATTGTGCTCGGTTAATACTAGGGGGCCGTTCATAAAATACGTAGCGCTATAAGGGAAGGGGAAGGGGTCTAGGACAGGGTGGCAAAATTTCATGAAAAATAAAATCTTGAAATTTTACATGAAATGTTTCATGAAATTTCAGAAATTTATGAAAGACATTGAAAAATACCGGTTCCTTCCCATGTTCCGCAAAATGTAAAAATTGTGACTTTTTTTTATTTTGTGTGTTTGAGTGCATGTTGCATACTCTAGCCCCTGACAAATATGAAATATTTCACAGCCTCGTGAAAGTTCATGAAATATTTCACTGAAATTTCCAATCTTTCATTTCTTTCTTACGTTTCATGCCACCCTGGTTCAGGATAGTGTTGCGCTTTTTCGTTTTGACGTTTTACAGAACTGGGAACCACTTCATAAAAGCGCTAAGAGGGGGTGGGGGTTAAAGATGATACTTTGCCATGAAAAATAAAACAATTTTGTATAGAGAACTGTAAGAATCACAAAAATAGTAAGTAGAATCATATGAGTAAGTGAAAAAAAGTTTAAATAAAAGGAAGAGGAAAAAAGAAAAAATACTGAGCTGAACCTCACATAACACAGAAGAGGGTGTCTCAGAGTCGCAGAAAAACCCGGCCTAACTGTGCCTGCCGGAAGGAGATGTGGGGGTTGAGTGCAGAGCTTAGGATTGAGTTGGCGCAGGATTCGCGGAGAGGGGTGATGCAGTGATGCAGGGATATATTACATGGAGAATGCTTCTATAGAATATGCCATCTTATATAGAGAAATATTTCGCTCCAAATCTACTGAACTGTCAAAAAGTTTGTAAAAAAGTGAAGAAAATCGGACGAAATCGATTGCAATCAGCCTGATTATATTTCATATTGCCTAGTGTCCCCATAGGTTGTATTAATTTACAGAGAAACCAAGCAACAAACACCTTAGATCTTTTCATCAATATCCTTGATTATGAATCATGTACTCCCAAAATTTGAAGGCAGAATGTTTCTTAATTACTCTTAAAGAAAAGAAAACATGAGAGAAAATTAGGCAATAATGTCGGATAGAGTTAGCCGAATTCTGGTTAATGTTAAAAAAAAATCCTATTTGACGAAAATAATCGGTTCTTGAGTGTTTCATATTTAATACTGAGCCACCCTGTATGCGTCGAATCGAAATGTTCTTATTGACATTCCACCCCTGGGCATATCAAGTTCGATTGTATCACCCCGTACCTGGAATTATTTACAGCAACATTCCAATATCAGCTAATGAAAGAGCAGCCCGGGTATTCGTTATTGCTTTTCCCGTTACAATAAGTTAAGCCTGATGAAAACCTAGAAATAAAAAATGTATGAGAGCCTATTCATGTCGCGGCTTCTTCCTCTAGAGAAAGGAAATTATTTATGAGGAAAATATGTAATTGCCTTTTATTTTTAGAATTTAATATATTGAACACTGGTATCCTCGTGTAACATCTCAAGATAACTTTCATATTCAATTTCTGGGAAAAAAAAGGGACTCGATCGAAGCTCTTGCATCCGTGAAGAATTTGCGATTTAAGTATTGATTCCCGTATATTTCGCGAGGAACACGATGGTGCCGTTGGTTTTCTCTGAAATCAACTCCAAAGCTCTAAAAAAGCTCTCGAAATTGAGGCCGTAATGGAGGGGATATCCCACGCTATCCTGAGAGTCCACCTCTACACCCAGACAAACTATCTATGTAATGCAAAGATAGGAAGCAGATACACTAACAGAGTTGCCACCTTGTTTAGGGACTCCAAAAGTGAAAACACGGCATTCTTGCTAATCTATACTCACTCCGTAACTTTGCGTAGAAAGTTTGTCTTGATGTAGAGGTGGACTCTCAGGGTGGCGTGGGATATCCGCGCCAACTTTGAAAGCTCTTTTTTGAGCTTTGGAGCTAATTTTATAACAGACAACAAATACCCCAAGGCCAAAAGGGAATACGCTTTCATGTTGATTTTTACGAATTTCTGTCCCTTTTCCCCTCCGTATATACCAACCATACCGATGAAAATTCATCTTGATAAACAAATTAAGTTTTATGGGAAGTGAGATAACCCTCTGTACATCGCAATTTATCAAGAATCTGTCTTAGAATCCGGGAAGTCACGCAAAGTCGCGTCCACTTGGGTTGCATAAGGCGCGGCGCGGCGACGAATCGGGTCAAAACGCCTACCAACGGAAAGTGCTTGCCACGGGGGTGCGCTTCAAATTGAGCTCATGGATTTATTTATCATCGCACAAAAATGGTTGTGGTATCATTTTAAACGTCAGAAAATGATCTTTCTACAAAACACGAGAGGAGGTGTGTTTCTCCACCCTATTGAAAATTATTCGTCGTTGTAAATTTTGGCAATTTGAACATTTTCTATTCATTTGGAAAATACCCGGAAAAGTCGGAGGAAAAACGCAAGTATATCCGTAACACTCGTTGACCTTCAACATAGCTTCTAAACAAGCCCAAAATAATGAAAATCGGACGAGAATGTGCCGAGATATAGCGCGCGTATGACTTGCGTAGCGCGTTAATTGCCCGTATTCCGCCGTTTTCACCGCGCACCGCGTACCGCGACGCTCACTTAAAGTGCTCTGGAGGGTGCATTTTTTGACGCAAAAAAATTGTTTTGGTATCAAATTAAAAGTCAGATAATTTCCCATCGCCGTTACTTAAGGAAAAAACGTCATTTTCTCGCGTGTTAAATAATTATACGCTCTTGAAAATTGGGTGAAATTTCAAAATTTCAAAATTTTCCTTATGACCGTTTATGTGTGCCTTAGGCGAAAAATTTATGAGGTAGACTTCTGGAGAAGCATTTTAGCTTCAAAACGAGATCAAGAAAACGAAAATCGGACACGAAGTTTCCGAGATATAGCGCGCTGAAAAAACGCTCGGCGGCCATCTTTATCGGCCGCCATCTTGGTTCCTGCACGGACCTTAGAGTGCTTCCCCTTCTATAAGGGCTTCTTATGACCATAAGAATGATCCCTGAAAGCGGCAATTTCCAATCAAAAAGTGCAGGGTTTTTTTGTGTACCCACCGTACTATTAGCACGGCAGTGTAGTTATGTAAGGTTACGTAGGAGGGATTATCAATGAGAATTGATAAAATCTAATTTTAATTGATTGAAAAATTACACGACTACTCTGAACACCGTCTTGTCATAATTAGTTCGGAATCATCTCTCTCATTGTTAGTTACGTAGTTTATAAATAAAAAGTACTCAAAATACTTGGCGCTTATTTTAAAATATTCAATTTCATAAGAAGAAAGAAAATTATTTAATCGATGTGATGATGACTGACAAAAATGTAGATAATTTAATTTTACTAATCCTTTCGCGGCTAACAAGTGTATTACTATGTTTTTGAGCTGAATAACCAGCAAAATTTCAATCCAAATTTTGTTTGTAAACTCTTTTAATGTTACAGGAAAAACACTCAATCGTTCACAAAAGTTCATATCATAGCAAACGTCAAAGCAATACTACCGAGGACCCTTTTATTTCGTGGCATGTCAGCAAAACGACACAGAAAATATATCATCCAATAATATCCCCTAGTTTCTTTAATCTCTTCCAAATGTTTTCAAAAAATTTTCTCGTGCAAGTTCCTTGCTTGTCAAACTGTTCCTACGAACCTGGATGTTTCTATGAAAGTTTTCAGACCGTCCCGTGTGACACACACAAAAAAAAACAAAAAAGAGAAATGAATCACGTTGTATAAAAAATTGCCCGCACCAAGAGGATGGGTTTATTTTTGAGGGATGATTAAGATCGATGTTATAGAGGCTCTAATTTATTAGCCTTTCGCAGAGAACTTTTCTTTACTCAAAAATAAGGGGAAAATCTAGTCGAACATTTAGAATTATCGATACAAAACCTCATGAACGACTATGCGAATGCGATACGTAGAGAACTTTTTGGCCTTGATATTATCAATTTTTCACGTTTTCGCAATGCAAATCGCCGATTTTAAAGGATTCATAGAGAATCACCATAACCTATACGTTGACAAGACGCAATTCTTGCTGGATTTTATATTTGACAAGGAAGAAGGCGTCGTCTTTATTACCAGGCCACCAGGATTCGGAAAGTCTCTTCTGGCGTCAACCGTCGATTACTTCTTCAACTCCCGCTATGATGTGAGCCAATCAGAACGTCTCTTCGCGGGACTTAACGTCATGGCCGACACCCCGATCGCGTAGCAGTTCAGGGAAGAACACATGAACCGGTTTCCGGTGATCAAGATCTCCTTTGCGTCTTTTCAGGCCACAGATTTTCGAAGCACGCTCAAAGAGGTCGAACGAATATTTAAACAGGTATGGTTTAAAACATATTTCCTGCGCGGAAGAACGATTTGGACGTATTTCTGCCAAACGGAACTATGTTCATTAAGACATGAGCCCGGAGACCCATAAGAATATATGCTTACCAGGGCCCACGTCATAATAAACATAGTTCCGTTTGGTAGAAATACGTCCATTTAGGACTCGTGCTTAGAAATTAAGGCCAACGGAGGGGCATGGAGGACAAGTGGTATAAGTGCAGTTTTTGCTTCTCCAAGAAATACGAGTTCAGAATTTAAAAATCACATGGCGGAGCCTTACTATGGCGGAAAGACAGTTCAAACTCACTTTCTGATGCTCCAAAAAGCCTCCCAAAATAAGGGCTGACTTTCGCCCCTTTTTCGGTATTCGATTCGACCATCGAACCAAGGTTTAAGTGGAAGCTTATAATAACAGAAAACTCAGGAAAAATTTCAAGATGAGTATGGGAGCCGTTTTCGAGTTACGGGGGGGGGGGCAAAGGGGTCAAACTCCGGCCTACGAATGTGGAATGACATTGCTGTAATTCGTACCCCGTTGCCTGAAGTGAATGATTCGCCTTCAAATGGCCGTGTATGCAAAATGACTGTCGTGACGCACGAATAGTGGTATCAGAATTTTGCATTAAGTTTACGGATTTATTTGAAGGCGCTCTTCTGTATCCACTGTGAGTGGCCTTGTACAATGATGTTGACCAAAAAGTTCACACTTTTGGGTTTTAAATCGAGCCGCATATTCGAAAATGCCGAGGAATATTATCTTGAAAAAATAATAATATTGTTTTTGGTCTTTACGTCTTATTTCAAAGAAGAGAGCGCAGGCGGCTGGATGAGATTGTGTATTTTAAGTCCCTTGGTTCGGTCATCGTAAGCTGAAGCGAAACTGAAAGCGTCGCCGTTTACAAGTTCGCAACTTACTCAATAGCGGTTGTGAATTAAAAAAGTTTCGCACGGAACCACTTTTAAAACCTCAAAGTTCTGTATGAACGGAGTTATAAGCTTTTGAAGTTTCCACTATTTGTCCGACTTCCCCCATTGACTCGATCCATTTTGTGCCGCTCCGGTATTTGATGGGCCATTCGTCATGGGACACCCCCTCCCCCCCCCCCAAAAAAAAAACAAAAAAATACTTCGCTTTATTTTACCGGTTTCCAGGTCATGGAAGATCACGGAGCCGCCTTGGCCCACTCCAGCGACCCGATTCTCCACCGAATCGCCAATGGGACCGCCGACGAGCAATGCCTGAGGACATTCGTTCAGCTGCTCAGCTTTCACGTCATCGAACACCATCGAGTGGCGCCCATTCTCATAATCGACGCCTACGATACGCCGCTCTACTCCGCCTACGACGACACCCACTACGAGAATATAACCGAGCTCATGGCCCACCTCTTGGACCTGGGTCCATATGCGAACCGGTTCAGAAAGGTCCTCATCACGGGCGTGGCGACAGTGAAACTGGACCGAGTGCAGCTTCGCAAGACAGGCACAAACGACCACAACCCTCTCTCCGGATTCTTCGGGTTCTCCAAGGTGGAAGTGATGGCGCTGTTGGAGAGGAACGGGAAAAACGAGGAGATCGACCGCACTAGAGTGGAGAATTTTGGCGGTTACGGTTTTCGCGATTCCAATGTAACTGTGTACAACCCCAGTGGTGTTATCAGGTAATCATTTTTCACAAACCGATTGCGGTGGAAGCACGGGTCGTAAGACAGTATGTTGGAGTTTTTTGCCAAAAATTCAGCATAAAGCAAAAAATCCCAATACAGAGGGAAAAAGCTCAAAAAGAGCACAATTTTCCCTCGAAGAGATATGCTGTTCGGTGCAACACTAGTTACGTTCATTCACGATCCCTCGAGCTTGGTAGCAGAAAATTCAGGCTGCACTGCACTGAGGATTGGCCCAACAAGGCCGAAACGCGTTGCCTTCCTGGATGGACATAACTAGTGTTGTAACAAACAGCATATCTCTTTGAGGAAAAATTGTGCTCTCTTGAGCTTTTTCCCCGCTGTATTGAGATTTTCAGATTTATGCTGAATATTTAACGCACGTTGGCAAGCAACTCCAACATACTGATAATTTTTGCTTTCACTGTGTATTTTCCATTTTACCCTTTTTGAACCGATTCGAGTTCTTTAGACCCGAGACTTGCTGTAGAGCGAAAAGGTCATACTTGCACATGGAATTTTGGAAAAAACAAATGGTTGCACTGCAATAACTCGAAAACTCCTTAGATATGAAGGGTTTGGAGGACGTGACGTAAAAAGAGCAGCTTTTGCTATTTCGAGAAATGCGGGTTTGAAATTTTAAAAGTACATGACTCCTTATGACGGAAATAAAGTTCAAATTGACTTTTTGGCGCTTAAAAATTGGCATTTGGGAGAAAATTTTTAGCAGAATATGCATAAAGGTTAGTTTTACTTGAATTCACTACTATCAAAATCTACAAAAACAGGATTTTTGCGCCTTGACCGCCAAGCCCCTCATATTATATCAGGTGTGCATGAGTAATATGAAGACAAAGACGGAGGGGAAGAAGAAGAAAATTAACTATAGAAAGAAGAAGAAGGAATAAGTAGAGGGGGAAGATGAAGAAGAGCAGGACAATCGAGGAAAATAGGAGAAAGTATAGGGGTGGCAGAGATGAGAAGGATAGGGGTAGAAAAAGAAAGAGCAGAGGTATAAGAAGAGAAAAAAAGAAGTAAATTACGGAGAAAAACAAATTCTCCATCTTTCCCTTTCTTCTCTTCTTCTCCTTCTTCTCCTTATTCTTCCACCATCTTCTTCTACACCTCATGTTTTTGCTCTTCTTCATCCTATTCCTCTTCCCTCTTTCCAACCTCATTCTCTATTCCCTCTCCTCCTTTTTTCAATTATTAATGCACCCTCATCTGACTTCCGGTTTCAAGATAAAGGGCTACTCCTTTAAATTCATATGGGTCTTTAACTCCGTCTCATAGTCCTAATCATGCACGTATTTTTTCTCCTCGTGACTCAAAATGTATCCAGATTTCTTTCGTCGAAATTTGCATTCACTGATTTCTCATCAATAATTATTGATGAGAATTATAATTGCTCTAGGTACGTTGAATCGGGCACAGTAGACGGAGGCCTGGATGCTGCATCAACATCAATTCTCAAGGACTTACTGACGGTTGAGAAGTACGGACTGTACCCGATTTTGGTCGTCCAAAAACTCCTCGCATACGAATTAGTCCCCAGACGCGTTATCGATCAGCTGCACTACCCCAGCATCCGGCGAATTCCGTCGCACTTCTGGACCTTCCTCGCGAGTCTCGGGTTTGCTACCTACGACTTGGAAAAAGCCTACCACTCGGAAGCAGTCCTACTGAAGATCCCTAACTTGAATGCCTATAAATTTTTAGCGCTCATCATCGCAGAAAATCCCAAAATCCCCGATTACAATGGTTTAACGAAGAGTTTAATTGAAGGAGATTTTAAAATAGCTCAAAATGTGTTTAGGACCTACTTAGCACACAAGGGTGCGTATGTCACGCTAGAGGACAAAGGCAGCGAGAAATATGATTGTACCACACACAAACGGCTATCAGATTACGTCAACGAATTGTTAGAGGGTGTAAAAATAAGGTATAAAACAGGTGGTAAGGTCGTTCATAGGCCAGGGTTGGATTATATTGAATTGGAGCCTAGTGGAGACTACGTATATACGATTAGAATTAAGATTGAAAAAAGCAAGATGCTTAAAGCCTTGTGGTACAGCGTACGAAACAAGGTATGTTCTTTGGTGAAGACGGTACCGAAAAATGAAACTGAGATATTTATCCAGTATGGGGCGTCTTTCTTCGACGTTTGTTTAAGGCAGTCTTCAACAGCGCCATTTCCCCGGGCATTGGTTTAATTTCAACACTGACATGACAGGATGGTCAATAAGGATTTTCTGCTCTAATTCAGTTTCTAAATTTATAGATACAGGTATTAGAGTGAGCCAAATGTACATATGTGTCAGAATTTCCAGACAATAAGCACAATGAACCGATAAGACATTAGAGCAAGAAGTCTATGCGTTGTCAAATTTTAAAGTTACCGATCAACTTTTCGTTCGATTCTAGTTTTCATTCCTCCGTATTACATGCACTCAAAATTTACATGATATTATATTTTTAGAGGCCATAAGAACGAATAACCTTAAACTTATCACACTACTGGGCTTCAAAGGCAATATGTTGCTTGTGAGGACGTATATATATATTCATGTTTGCACGTGTTAGTACATAGTATTAAGTCACTGAATTATTTTTCCTTTTCATGAAAAATTGTGGAGAATCAAAGACAACGAGGGTTTAACCCTTTCGAGATATTCATTGTAAATATTTGAAAAGTCAACTATTTCAGCACTACATTTAAATTGCGCACATGAGTTATATATGCAAAATATTAACTATATCATTTGTCTAATATAAGGAAATGTAAATTGATTAGTGCTATTGTAAAATTGATTTTACTGCTACAGGTAATGTAATGTAGCTTTTTTTTTTTGTTTTTTTTTAAAAAAAAAAAAAAAATTGGCGATATAATCTTCCCTGTTTTGAAAAGGCGATATACCTTTTATTATATTATTTCACCAAAAAATTGGTGTTTGGCCAATTCTTATTGGCGCGTATACGTAGTATACCGCCTTTGCGATCGTTTCGACCCCCCCCCCCCCCCCCCCCCCCCCCCCCCCCCCCCCCCCCCCCCCCCCCCCCCCCCNCTGGACCATACCCACCAACAAATTAATCTGTAACTCACTAGGACTATATTAATTCTGAAACCTAAGGTAGAAAGGAGGAAGCAAGAGGCCAAGATCTCAAGAATAAACATTGTATTTACAGTGAGTGATTTCAATTTCAAACGAGCTCACAACGCACTTGATTCATTTTCACCCACAAGCACGTGAATTTGTAATCTGTGATTGATTTTCAAATTATCTGCTTCATGTTTTGACGTACTCTTTTTCAATTGCGCTAATGGCCTCTATTATGGCGTTTTTCGTTTCTTGGGGGAGATAGAACTTCTGTATCGGGGTGTCAGGGCGATGCTTTTGGAGAACCAGTTGGCATGATGGAAGATTCCCATTGATGAATATAACTGGAACATAAATCAAATTCTAGCAGAGTTCGACAGAAGATGAATGATAAAAATAAAAACTGGAGCATGGAAACACATCTTAAGATAAGAGACTTGGATATTACAAAATATATTTTTAAAAACGACAACCATAAAGTAAGATGTGATCAAGTTGTTGAGACTTGTCACGAGCTGCAAGGAACTTTTCATAATACAAAGAAAATTTTAGAAATAAAACAATTGTAAACAGTTAAAATAGGTTAAATGGGGTAGAGGCGTCATGAATATCGACTTTCCGTGTTGTGGCCGTAGCTGCATTGTGATTATCAGCATCCGGCGGTAGTAGTGTTTGCCTAGTTGGTTGATTGAAGGCGTTTTTAAAACCTCTACGAATGCTAGCATAAGGCGGTCGCCGTGCAATGTGCATACGGTATTTCATCACTTTCTAGTCGAAATTGTGGATATTAAGTGTTTGCTGTTGACCAATAAACAACATAAGTAAGACGTAAAAAACGTAGGTTTTCTCTTCCGAAAGTAACTTAAGATATTTGCGACAGCTAAAAACCACCAAATCCACGACTTTTTCTGAGTTTTAAAAGCATGAAATGAATGTATTGAGGCAAAAATAAGAGGTACAAATTTCATATATGTTACTTATCGTAGACCCTTTTAACAATATTATTAGTCCCAATAAATTGTATCAAGCGGCTTTGGGGTTGGTTCAAGAGTGGTTAAAATGAATCGCAAGTTGTGTCCAAAATATTTGAACTTAGAGCCCCTCATATTAGCAAGTAAGGAAAATTAGCCGTGGGTTCAAGCGATACTATATACGATTGAAGTGTCCCCTGTAAAACAAAATGACGAAAATTCAGCTCCAAAGAAATACTATCGAGAGAATTCACTAAATGTTTTCTATGCTGGCTTAACAAAAAAGTGCCGTAGGAATAACTTGCAATGGACCGTTGGACAACGTACAAATTATTGCATTCTGAAAATTTTTCCCTTCAAAATTTCAGGTAAAATACGCTTTTAACAACAAAAATTAATGTAACTAACTTCCAATTAAGATATTACCGTTTTTATTCAGCATTGGTTTCAAAAAATTAGAATTTCCCGCTTACAAGAAAAACAACAACCTATTCGAATCAAAATCGCACCACAACTGTTTTGGCAGGCTTCTCAATAAGCAGTGTTCTCAACTTCTCACTCCGCCTTTTGTTTTTCAAAAAGTAAGCAACTTGCTGCAATACACTAGCGGATTCAGCAAAGTGACAACATTCTTTTTCTCCATTTAAACGTATAGCAATGTATAGATTCATAGAGGGGCCAGGTGCTCTGACAAGAATCGATTATTTAGCATAGGTGTAAATGGAGGAAATCCGGTGTTGCCAAATTGCTGGATCTGCCTCTGGTGCAATACCTGAGTCGAATCGCTCATATTGAGGTTGTCATAATTTCATTCTGCGAAAACCGCCGCGGTAACGTTTCAGGTGTAATTTGTGTAATTTAACTCAAATAGACGATGTTTTTTTTTTTTTTTTTTTTTTTTTTTTTTTTTTTTTTTTATGAGCGGGCAGTTTGAATTTATCCATCGAAAAACGTCAATATCTTTGTTAGGAGTTACTATAAGTTATTTTCGGTAGAAAAAACGAGTTCTACGTAAAATTTTGACGAGGATACAATTATCAGAGTTGACTTACTTACTTTCTTTTTCGCCCGATGAATTTTTCGGTTGTCACTATTTAAATAGTGACAACCGAAAAATTCATCGGGCGAAAAAGAAAGTAAGTAAGTCAATCACGTAGTTCCCGATAAAGAAAACAAAGGATTAGTAATTATCAGAGCGCTTAAATTCGCACATTGTTTGGTGGTCTAATCGGTTCGATTAGTATGTCTGAGAGTTTGAGTTTATTCTTTGTAAGAACCCCGATCAATTAAAATAAAAATATCTGGAATGCTCCGCTCTTACGAACGACAGCTTTTAGATTGATTAGTGCTTTTCCGGAGGGAATACACTATATTTATGTTCATATTTTTGTGTATTTTCATACCGATTGAGAATGGTTTAGTAGTCGGCCGAGACATTTCGACTATAGAGCATTTTATTTTATTTTTGTTTTTTAGTTAGTCGTAATTCTTTTGAGTGCGTCTCGGGCTTTCAATAAGATTGCGTGTCTCATATTTTTTGTGAGATGAAGAACAATCAGGAAAAATCTAGGAGAAAAAAATGAATTAATTGGACGGCATTGACTAAAATCATAAAAACATCCAACGTTGCATCAATTTCACCTATGTTTTATTTTCTCGCGGAAAAACTAAGCTTATGCCTTACAATTTTGTAAGCAAAATAATCATAATCCAGGGGAATTTGACCGAACGTTTTATGATGCTATGTTACTTATTGTTTGTTGTTCTGGAAAAAAAAAACCTGGGAAGAAATGGGGTAACGTGGATTATAGTTAGGCTATTCTGGTTAATTTAATCCGACTAATATAAGCTTTAATCAAAATTTGACAGTTTCTGCTCCACCGTGAACTGTGGCAATTTGTACTTCGTGTAGTTTATTTTTGTAGGTATATTTTGAACTATTTACTTATCATGAAATTAAACTTTTTGTGAAACTGATTTAGTCTGTAAATGATACTTCGACGGTTAAAACAAGTTTCGTTTTGGTATCATTCACTTGAAATCGGTGAAGCAATTATCTCCTATTTCTCGTTATATTCTCTGTAACTGCCAGTAATTGTGTGTAACGAAATTTCTAATCAAAATGTATATCTCCTACTTTCATCAAATTTGTTTCTGCTGTAAATATTTAAAAATGTATGATACGTGGATGTTAAAATCCGTAAAGTTTATCGGAGCATCTGGAATTCGGAAAGCTTGAAATTACCATACTAGGCGGTCGGAAACGCCACACTAGCATTGTGTCAGCCGTATCGTGTAATTTACAATACTGGTAACTAACTAAACTGTAGCTTCATTGGAAAAAAAATCGCTTCAGAAAAATTCAAATAAAAATGTTTCAAAACAAAAAAAGTTAGAATGGAGAATTTGCAGGTGTCTGAAATTTAATTAGTTTTATGTTAAATTGAAACGATTATTGAGTAAACTGAGCACGAGTATACCCTTGATTCCTGACTGAAAAATTACTAGAGAAGGCATGACAAAATGATCTAATTTTCCAAATTCATGTGTTCAACTCCCACCTGATGACGTTACAAAGCGGTGCACTACCTCTCTTTTGAACCTATTTTCTCATTGTTTTCCGAATCGGTGAAAATCGTAAAAAATAGTGCGAAATCAGCTCATTAAGCACTCTCAGATGAAGCAATAAAATATTTCTGTGCAAATTCTCCACTCGAGAGGTACAAGTTTTGAAGCTTCTCTCACAGCTTTGACTCTTCTCGACACACATTTTCGCGGGGTTGAATTTCGCAAGTTGAACCTGATTGAGCGATATGAGCGCTAGGATAAGATTTCCTGGCATCAACACACGGGTAGTTTTCCTCGGCGCATTATCTTCAGTTGATGTCTAGCGACTTTGGGCGGTATCTCACCTCCAGTAACCGGGGAGGGGGGGGGGAGGCAGGGGCGGGTGCCGAAGTTGCTTGATTAATGATCGAATAATTTAGCGGAGTGCTCGGATTTCCGCCGAAACAGCATTATCGCCGGTGGCGAGGCGCGCTATGCGATAAATCGATTGATTTGCCATTTAAACATATGGAAATATATCGATAGACAGGGTGTTTGCAACGAACACCTTAATAATCGATTCTATACCATAGCTTCCAACGGGGGAATATCGATAATCGATTACTCACGCCTTGAAACTGATTATGACTCCGCCTTTCCTCGGAGGAAACCTCCTGGGGCCCACTTAAGACCACGCTCGTATTTTTTCGTCGATGGCTGTAGCCTGTGTCACACTATCAAAACCAGCCATCAAAATATCAAGGTTAGGTGTTGTGATTGGCTTATTCGACGACTCAAACCAATCACAGCACTTGACCTTGACATTTTGATGGAGTACTTTGATAGTGAAGAGAGAAAGATAGTGAAGACCGTGAAGAGATGGAGAGATGCCAGCTTCCGGAGGATCTCTACCATGACAGATTCCTGTGGAGAGTAGGCGTCGCAGAGCGCCCTAGCGCGCCGTAAAAGCGGCTCATACATACATACATACTTTGATAGTGTGACACAGGCTTATCGAAAAGCGTTCTTTGCCCTGAGTCGATTCTCAATGAAGTTGAAGATTGAACGACGAAAAATTAGCGACACCTCCCCTGCTGGACGCACATACGATTGAGATATGGGCGAATTTCTGCTGAATGGAAAGGATAGGTGGGAGAGAAGGGGTGTGCTCGTTAGTTCTCGGGCTGTGAGAATGAATGGGAATTATAAAGCACCAATGACGTCAGCGGCGAAGACGACGCAGCAACGCGCAACGGTGGGGCTCTATAACTCATGAGCCCTGTTCACAACACTCTTGTCCCATCGCCATGGCTCATAGGCTAGCATACAGTTGGCGCTCAGTTCCGTTTGATGTACTGTAAAATCACGCTTTTCCATTTTCCAAAAAGGAATCACGTCCACTTTAACATTGTTTCTTATGCAGCTCACCACGAGCACACCCCATCTTTCCCACAGGTCTCTAGTTCCGTTCAGCAGAGATACATCCATATGACCCCAGCGACAAGCTTACGTTAACTATTTCCTAATGGACGGGTAGTCCCAGTTTCAAAAAGGCACTAGAAAATTCTCTAAAGGAGCGTTCATAAATGAATCTGAGGTTTTCAAAAGGGAAGGGGTTCATCTCTCGCTGAGTCTTAGTTAGCATGTCCTATTATGCAAGCCAAGGCTCATTCAAAAATGGACTTGTCCCCTTTCGAAAACAACTGATTCAAGTTAAGAAACTGTCAAGGGCAGTTGAGGAGGGGGGAGGGTATGAGCCTCTATTACCTTGCGTCACACGGGGGCGGGGGGGGGAGTCCAGTACCAGCGTTACGCAACCCTCTCTATTGGTAAAAAGAGGTGCGTGGTATAAGAGATACATGGTTTCACACTTAGACCATCGAACTGTAGAGGGTAAGGGAGGGTTTTTACCCCTGATCCTGCACAGTGAGTTGACCTTTCCTCGAGACATTGGATTTTGCTAAATTGTGATCAATTTTAAGGCATTTAAAGAGATTATTTTGAGTTTTTCCCTTCCATGCGAATTCCGCCTGTTCTGAACAAACATTCGTCCCCATTCCCCTCCCCCATCAATGATCCAACTGAAATGTTCGCAGAACCGCAAATATATTCGCATGTACAATTCAGCTGGATTCATTAGAAAAATCACTGATTGTGAGTTTAAACAGATGCCACATTCAATGCTTGGATCGCATTTTAATATGCTTCTTATCGTGAGTTACTTTGTAGAAGGAAGGGAATCTATGAAGTGCTGGTACAAACTTCCTGCTCCGTTGGTCAAAGAAATAAAATAGGTTAGCTGATGAGGATCCTGATTTGAGATAGTCAAACGCACTCACCATGGAAGTCTCTTTCGTTAGACGAGGCATTCGCGTTACTCTGGGGATCTCTGGACTCAGACGGTTTCTTGCAACACATGCATACATTGAAATAGTAGCTGACAGATTCTTTTATTTTGCGCCATCTTTCCATATCAACCCATCCATTGTTCATAAACACATACTAACCTTAAGTTGTGACGGAGCAATTTCCATCATCAAACAGCGGCGATGAAAACGAGAATGTTTAGTGTCTCCTTGGAGATGAATTTTACTAATACACTCCATAACCTGAAAAGTTCATTTCCTGGCAGAAGGAATTGTATTCGAGTCAAAAGAGAATTTTTTTAAAAATAAATTGGAGAAAAATGAAACAAGCTCAGAAGGAATTTTCTATTTCGTTCTATGATAAGAGTAGGACGATTTACAGGTAAACAAAAAAAAAAAAATAAAATAAAGTAAAAAATAAAAAAGAAAACTTGGAACTAGAATAATTTTGTAGTACTTTATTATTATTATATTATTGACTGCGTGATGATCAAACTCGAAATTGAAAGACAATATGTTCTGAAAATGTTCTCAGGAAATATGGGGGTTATAGGACATTTCGTCCACGATTTTTTGTCCGCGCACCCGTTTTCCAGTAGTTTACGTCCACGCGTTTTTTCGGCACGGGAGTTTTGGTCCACGTACCAATTGAGACCCGAGGTTAATTAGTCCACTTATAAAAACAAACGGCAATTGCTCACGACGTTTTTGGATGAAAATGTATAATGTCTTGGAGGGAGAAAAGTTTGCTTTTTTTCCAACAGAGGAAAATATATAATTGAGATTTTCGGTAAAATTGGGGGAGCATCGATTCTATGAGGGAAAATTCACTAAAACTCTCCACGGCTCTTTGGTGCAACAGGACTCATCTTTCAAGAAATCCCCATCTTGTTATACCTGAACCGAATTAACCTTTTGATTTGCCTCAGGTAAAGGCTCTTAGATTTTTCGTGTACGATAACTTCGCGACGGCGCCGGCGTGCCGCGGCGCTTCGAGCTACTATTCCGCCACGGATGTGTTGCAAAGTATCATACGAGATTGAAGGCACCCCAACGTATCATGATCATAGAGTACATAGAGTCGTAATGTAAATGGGAGAGCTGGCGCCATGTTCTGCTCGACGAGTTCCGAGCCTGGTGTGCGCCGAACTTCGGTCATGTTTGATCCAAAATGGCGGAGTGAAATACGCAGTAATTCCTATCTTCTTTGTTTACATCGGATGGCTGGGTCCCCGTGTATCGAGAACAATCGATTATATATCGAAAAAGTGACCCGGTGTCCTCCAGGAGTCTCGGAATTCGGGACCTGGAAAATGCTTAAAAGTGGCGTCAGCTCTCCCACTTATATTACACCTCTATGTATGTACTCTATGGTCATGATTGATGGCATCTTTCAAAAGCACGAAGTTCCCTCGCAAATTAATTGGAGTGACCACTACGAAAAGAGAGTGGTTGTCGAAAAACTTACTAAGTCCTAGTATCCGTATTCAATAACGTTTAGCATGATTTTTGAACTTCATTAGAGGAAAAAGTGACTTGATTCAAGCAGAAATATGCTCAAATTTACCGCTGAGAGGATTTCCTTATACATATGAATCAATAAAGGAAATAATGCGTGTAAAGAAGAAAAGATGCGTGAATAACAAGAAAAATCACTTACATCAAGCAGAAACCCGCTTTCATTCAGCAATTTTATTCTTGATTCAAAATAAAATCTTCTTGACGGCATACTCAAGAATGTGTCTGCCTAAATCGAGTCACTTTTTTCTCAAATGAAATTAAAAAAATTAGGCTAAACGTTTTTAAATATGCATGCTATGACTAAGTAAGTTTTCGACTTCCGCTCTCTTTTTGTGTCATAGTATCTTGATTTATTTTGCAAGGAAAGCTCCGTACTTTTTAAGGATGCTTGTCATTCTTCATATATTGGAGCGCCTTCAATTTCGTATGATACTGTGCAATACCTCTGGCGTGAAATAGTTGCTTGAAGCGCTTGAAGCGGCTCGGCGGGTGAGGGCGACCAGCATGACACTCGCATCGGCGCCTACAAACCTAAGGGGATACTTCCAGCATTGCGCAATGCGTGAAGTATTCTTGTTAGGTTTGTAGGGGCCAGTGCGCGTTTTGCGCTAGCAGTACGCCGCGCCGCGCCGTTCCGTTTTGTTTTAGACTCTAATATTTAATATCGCGGAGTCAGCGGTTTTCAACTCATGATTTTGAAATTTTTGCACACTCTGTATGGATTATTCTCATTTTAATTGATGGAAAAAAATTTGTATAAAAGGAAAATATAATGTGTGTTTTATAAATGTTAAGGTGGCTCAGTGTCAAATTTAATGATTTCCAAAGCACATTAGTTTTTTCTTTTATATTTTGTGGTTTTAATGTGCTGCAGCGTGGTGTGCGCGCAACCAAATGCTCAAAATTGGACGTATTTGACTCTGAAAGATGGATGTACGAATGGATTAAAACCAAAGATTGCACGCTTCTTGGGTTTTCCCTCTTTTATTCATTTTTGTATAGTTTTTTTTTAACACGACTATGGCTCATTGAGATTCTTATTGATGCCATCGCTTCGAAAAGGTTTTATAAATATTTGCCACGTTTTAAAAATGTAAATTTTTTTTTTAAAAAAAAGTAATATTTTCATTCATTAAAAGAGAGAGAGAAAAGAAGAAAAAAGGTATACATAATTACATACGGTATATTGTATTTTGAAAATTTAAAACATAAAACCAAATATTCTCCAATGATAATTTGAAAAGATGAATCAAAAGATGAAAGTAAATGAAATCAAGTGGTTGGTTGCCGTTCAAAAAATTAAAACAGGAGACAAGATTTTGAGCCACTGCATCGTAGATGAGACTATTTTGCTTTACTCTGCCCATTTGCTCTGAGGAAACTCTTCATAGTTTTAACGCTTAAAAATTTTTTTTATAAAAAGTATTGAGAAACTCTTGAAAAATGAACGGCAGTTTTTTAAGGCTTTTTCACGCAAAGTTTACCCGACATTAAATTTGCTTTATTTGAATACGGAGAGAAGATATCATTTTACGTAAATTTAAAGTTATGCGATCTTTTGAAAAATACTTTACAGCAGTCGCTTCTGTTAAAGTAAAGGGGCTGTCCAATTTTGCGCCTCCGACGAATGGTGCTCGGTGAGGTGCGAACAGTGGCGATTCCTGAAATTTGGCAACACTGTTTTCTCCATTTAAATGTATGTAAAACAATCGGTTCTTGGTGAGGCAGCGTGCCTCACCTATAATCGATATTTTCAAAGGCTTTAAATGGAGGAAAACAGTGCTGCCAACTTGCAAGAACCGCCTCTGGGTGCGAATACTGATTTCCAGTTTCGGGCATTTGGTCGAAAATTTCTTCGAAGTAGCAACTGTAGGTCAAGCCTCAAGCGGAGCAGAACCCGAAAAGTGGAGCCTCCTCGACGGAGGAGCGGAAGGCCACGGTCCCACAAAGCGCTGGCGACGCGAAGTCAATCGCGCGGTTTCAAAGCGCGTCGCGGTTGGCGTTGAATCGATTGATCGACCATTCAAACCTATGGCGTGGGATCGATTATTAGGAAATACCGTAATAATCGATTCTTCACTTGAAGGAATCTGTTGGATATTTTTCTTCGACAAATTTTGAACGATTCTTTACAAAATTAAATCTGAAGCATCTGACAATTTGGAGGAACAATATGCAGTAATCACCTCAAAATACTCGTTTTATCGGGGAAAATGTGGCAACTCTCGAATGCTCTTACGTTTTTCGCTAGCGCGGCTTAGAGTACCTATATTGAGAGAGTATACCCACTGGGTCCCATGGAGAGGCTTAGGACCCAAAAATGAGGGTGCTTTGTTTTGGTTTTTGAGGATGGGAGGGGGGTCATTGCCAACTTTTGACGGTTATCACCAACCGCACTTGCTGCCAACCTTACTACATCTGAGATAATTTTTCTCAAGAATTGCACACGATTAGCCTTAAAAATATGTAAAAAAGTCGCAATAGTGCATTTGGGTAAAGTTCTCGTTACGATAAGCAAAGACAGCTACATTTTGAATCACTTTGCATTACATTAACTTTATGGCGTCCGCCATTTTTGGGTCCTAAGGGCTCCATTCAGCCTAAGATGGCTGAGCCAATCAGAGGTGGTAACTCCAGTGGCCATACTCTCTCAATATAGGTACTCTGGCGCGGCTCTGTCGCGCGGTTGACTCGGCGTCGCTTGGTGCTTGTGGAGCCGTGGCTTAATAAGACGCTGCAGCAGATGCGACACGTCACGTCGTCGCGTCGCCAACGAGCAAAAGACGTGATTAACATAAAACCTGTCCGATTCGAGACCCGGGATGGGTGAAGTTCGTTGGCCCGCAGCGGCGACCAAAACAAGGTTAGGTAACTGGAACAAGTCGCCTGACAAATGGACACCGAGATTGACACTTGGAAAATGATCAATTCCTCCATCCTCACGACCTCACGTCCTCCAACTTTCACGAGCGAGCTTACTGTGAGGCGAGCGTGATATCGACCGAGGATAAAATCTGCCGGGCCGCGGGAAAGACAATATCGACCAAAATTCGTCGTTTTCAGCACGAAGGAACGTAACTCCATTCCAAGGTTGCCAAATTGACTCGAACAATTAATTTATTTTACAAAATTGTACGTAAGTATTTCTTGTCCAAAATTGTCTGTTTTTTGCTTGGAATCTAGAAGAAAGTCAGGGAAATTTTCAGTCAGAAATGCCCAAGATTCTCTTGATTAATAGGCAATTTGCCAGGGGAAATTTGGCAACATTGAAACGGAGTTACTTTTTTTCGTCCAGGAGACGACGAATTATGGAATTGATTTTTTCGAAAATCTAGCGAATTAAGTGGACCTCGTTTCGCAGAATGGAGCCAATTTCACATCAGCTATCGCCAAATTGAATTAGGCATTTTAATTTTACACAAGAGAATGCTTGTGCGGATTCCTTTGAATTTTAAGGGATTTGCTTCGGACTACGCAGAAATTCACTGAAATTTGCACGAAACTTCTCACAACCGGTTTCAAGTAAAAATTAAAGTGCCCAATTAAATTTGACGATAGCTGATGCGGCTTGGTTTCTTTTTGCTAACGCGGTACAAGTTGAAGCAATTGGTTGAATCAACACAGATTCGAGACTAGACTAGAGTAGACTAGAGACTGTAGACTAGAAAAAAATTAATTTCGTTTTATTGTCGTGTCCAATCAATGACGAGATCGACTTTAATAGAAAGTTCGTCAAAAAAGGCATCTTTTAACTGTCATGAAACGTCCAAGGTGGCAATCATTAGGAAACTATAATGAGCATATTTGATTAGTAAGAGATTCCTAAATCGAATTCTTCTTGCAGTATGCGGGAGCAAGTTTTCACTGAGGACTACGTAAATTATGATTCTATGGGTAGTAGCTTGCTTCACCTACAAATTTATGGATACTGACCCAAAAAAGTACTCGTACACTACAATGTGTTTCAATCTCTTTCAGCACAAAGTTGCAAATCACACATCCAATTCAGCAATAACTTCAGTGAATGTATCGCATATTTTGCAAAATGAAAAAGGCTCCAATTTAAATAAAGGTAAAGTTGTTTGCTTCTAGGTATAATGATAGACTACAGAGCATGAATGAATCAGTAGTACTTCATTGGCGCATTAAGCAACGCTAGAACTAAGTTACAGTGCGAGTGAAGCGAGCAAAGGGCTCTCCGTATCGCATGCGACGAACAATACGAATCTCATCATAACGCCCGGATGCAACTATTCGGCCTCCGCGGATGTCCATGTTGCATACGCAAGCAAGTGAAGGCGTTTTGACACCTGACACATCTATCGTATGGATGGATTACCGTTAGTTAGTCTATTAATTATTTCTCTGTCCATTCCAGCCACTTGCTTCCACCGACGGAATTGCTCCATTTTCTCTTTGCCCTCATTGTCTATCGTTTTATCTATCAATTTCATAACCAGCCCCGAGAATAGTTCAATCAAACGTAGAAAACTCGATTTCGAAAATTTTATCACCATTGCTTTCTCTGTTAGAGTTGGGGGAAAGAAAGTATTGAACAAATGTCACATCGACCTGAAGTGCATCAATCAACAGTTGGACCACATTTTGCAATCAGGTACTTCAATTTTCAGCTCACTTTAGAGAGAACGTAGGTGCCATGAGTCTTTATATGCGGCAGGTAAGGCTTTCATAAATGAGTCAGGGATTTAAGTTTCTATTTGCAAAATGAAGTCCTGATGGCACATTGATCAGCATACAAACTTCTACCAACTGGTGCTCTGCCGTGCTAAGGAAGAACGCCGTATGAGTCCTCAGATGTTGCCAAATTTCCTTAAACAAATCACGAATTTTCATGGAAATCAGTGAATTTTTCTCCTCCAATTTGTCACAGGATACTATTCATAGTTTGATCTAAAAAGTCTGAAAATTTCAAGGAAAAATATTCATAACTTTCTTCAAAAATGAATATTTTCACTGCAGAAATTTGGTCACTCTAAAATGTTCACACGGCGTTTTTCCTTAGCACGGCAGTAGCTGTTCTCCGATGTGACTTTTGCCCGATCTCCTTTTTCCTCAGTTCTAACATGGCAACATTTACCACTTGTTGACACTGGCACCATTGAGAGCGGATAATCGGGATTTCACAGTTATGAATCCATCATGCGTGCGGAACATTGAACGGGGTTACGCGTATGAGGAAATTCAGCGGGTAATATTTCGGGTTTATTCTAAGCGCAAGGCAAGAACACGGTGTTACATGTGCTCAGGTGAATATCAAACACAAAACGAATCCTGTGTCAGTGTCAGGATGGACGTGAGCGCTCAATGCAGTGGCGTGGCGTAAATTGCGATGTATCGATTGTTATACCATTTGAATCTATGGAAAAGGATCGATAGATAGGGTGTTCGCAGCGAACATCTTAATAATCGATTCTGTACCATAGGTTTAAATGACATAACAATCGATACATCGCAATTCACGCCACTGACTCAATGCAAACGCCGGTGAGGAAGGAAGCGGCCAGGATATACTGTCGTGCGAAGGAAGAACGACGTATGAACCTTCGCACGTTGCTAAATTTCCTTTGATAAAACATGGATTTTCGGGAAAACTAGTTGGTATTTCCCGTTTAGTTCTTCAGAGAATATTCTTCGTAGCGCGATCTAAAGTATCTGAAAATATCAAGCAGAAATATTTAGACTTTTTCTCAGAAATTTATATTTTAAGGTGATTCGATGGACGCCACATATTGTGTCAGAACGGCATGCGATATATCGCATCAATTGCGATTCCATTTTTCCAGCTACTCGTCGTTTTCCTCTAATTTTGAGATCGCAATTCTGTTGTTAGGAGACTAAAGCACTCAATTACCAATTTTAACAAAGAAATTTAACGTAATAAAGGCGTGGTTTTTTTAGAGCTCTGGTAAAAACTGGCAGCAGAATCTGTGTTCCAAAATACCATAGACCTACAGCCGGCTATAAGATTTCCAATAGCTTCTATAGCCGGCCACACAATTTTTTATAGCCTTTTATTAGCCGATGGCGATAAAGCAACAGTCAGGCGATAAAGTGTGTGCTGAATGTTACTAATTACGGATGCTAGGACTTAGTGAGTTTTTGGACTACTGCTCTCTTTTTGGGCCGTAGTATCTTGATTTATTTTGCGAGGAAAGCTCCGTACTTTTGATGGATGCCTGCCATTCCTAATATATTAGAGCGCCTTCAGTTTCGAATACTGTGCAACACCTCTGGTGTGAAATAGTTGCTTCAAGCGCCGTGGCACGCTGCGGCGCCTACAAACCTAACAGGGATACTTCACGCGTTGCGCAATGCGTGAAGTATCCCTGTTAGGTTTGTAGGCGCCAGTGCGTCGCCGCTCCGCTTTGTGTCAGGCTTTAATATTTAATCTGGCGGAATCAGCGTTATTCAACTCATGATTTTGAAATGTTTGCACATCCTGTATGGATTATTCTCATTTTAATTGATGAAAAAAAAAAAAAAATATGTATTAAAGGAAAATATAATGTGTGTTTTGTAAATATTAAGGTGGTTCCGTATCAAACTTAATGATTTCCAACGCATATGAATTTCTACACAATTTCTTATAGCCTATATAATCGATGGCGAAAAAGCAACAGCCAGGCGATAAAGTGTATAAAGCCCGGCGATAGGAACTTTAGCCCGGCTGCATAATTTTTTATCGCTTCGTATAGCCCGGCCGTATGATTTTCTCCGCATTCTACAGCCAGATATATGATTTTCTGTAGCCTTCTTTAGCCGGCTATAAGAATTCCCATGGTATTTTGAAACGCAGCTTTTATCGCCAATGTTTACCAGGGAGAAAAAACATTGCATTCGAGTGCAGTTTCGATATCAGTATCGAATGCGATGTTTTCTCTCTAAAAAAACCACGCCTTTATAACGTTCAATTTCTCTGTTAAAATTGGTTAGTGAGTGCTTTAGTCTCTTGACAACAGAATTGCGATCTCAAAATTGGAGAAAAATGACGTGTAGCTGAAAAAATGGAACCAATTGATGCGATATATCGCATGCCGTTCTGACACAAAATATGGCGTCCATCGAATCACCTGAAGAGGGAAAATTTGGCAATGTGGGAATGTCAATACAGCATTTTTTCCCACCATGGCAGTATAGTTGGGCTCAGTAGCCTCTTCTCCGTAGAGTACCTTCCATGAAGAAAGAGTAAGCACACTGGAGCTCTTGAAGACCCTTTGGCAGGGTGGTAAAATTTCATTAAATTCAAAGTTTTTTCGAATAAGGTGTCCTACTGAATATTTGTCCTAATTGTAATTGAAACTTGAACATGAGTATAGAGCAGAGAAAAAAGTTTTCAACTTAGACTCGCATCTTATTTTGGTTTCTAGGAGACACTCCCCACTATTTTAACCTACATATTTACAACCTACTTGTGAATTCACATTCAAAAGCAGTTGTAAAAATGTCTCTTAAATCAATTAGTTTCTTGTTTTAAATCCGCTATTTTATATGCCGAAAGTTCCCTCTTGAGTTATTTTTATTTCTAATCTGCTGTTTGATTTTCAAAAAATTTCCCTGTTTTAAAAATTCATTATTGCTTGTGATATTTTATATTTTCTTTTTTTTTTAAAAAAATTAAAATTAACTCAAATTCTCCTAGGAAAAAACCCGGTGGGACATCCCACTTGTAGGACTAATTGTAAAGGGACAAGAAACGAATGGAAAAAAGGTATAAGGAGGGCTTTTGGCAGTAAAAAACTAAATCGCGGTGTTTCAAAATTTCTGCTCCTTTTTTGTTTTTTTGAGTAGGCAAGTGAGCTATAAAGCTTAAAATTTCCACGGGATATTCTGCAAAAGAGAAGGAAAATCACGGAATTTTCCAAGAAATTAAGATGACTACAATTTTTCAATGAAAAAATAAAGTATTACAGGTAGTCTGCAATGTTGCAAACGGAACCCCATGGTTTCGCACTTTAGCCATCGATACTTGGACCGCGTTAAGCAGGAAGGAACCAAACCACATCAGGCATTGCCAAATTTTTTTGGACAATCTAATTTTTTGCATGAATACGGTTGTGCGGATCTTTGTGCAAATTCCAGTGAATTTTCTGCCTAGTTTGAAGCAAATTCCTTAAAATTATGCAGAGACCGCATAAACATTCTCTTGTTTAAATTTAAAGTGAGCAGTTGAATTTAACAATATCTGATGGGGTTTAGTTCCTCTCTGGTAAATGCGCTCCATTTCTTTCATGGAACACGTTAAAATTACCGGATAATGTCGGTAAAATGATCAAGAACACGTTACTTGTAATTTCCGGTGATGAGTATCATACCGAAAACGTATTGGTAAAATTAACTACACTGGAAAAAAAAACACATTGGATCTAGAGTCCAGACTCTTAAAAACATAGACAAGAAAAAATACTCTTGATTCAATCAGATTTAAGCTTAAATCAAGAACCATGCCTCTTAATTTAAGCGGATTTCCTTTTGATTTAAGCTTAAATCTGATTGAATCAAAAGAGTCCTTTTTCTTGTCAATGATTTCAAGATCCAATGTGTTTTTTTTCCAGAGTACGATTTATTTTCTTCTCTGTACACACGCCCACTGTTCGCCAAAAAATCAGGTTTCTTGCGAAAAATGAGCCTAAGTGACAACTCCCGACGGGGAATCCCAAAATGACGTCACCATCAAATCAGCGGAGCGCCCGACGACAACTCGGAAAGTTCAAACGTGCCACCAGCCCATTGACCCTCATTCCAACACCACTGCTGCCAAATATGACCCAAATCACCCGATAAACCCGTGATTTCCGACTGGTTTTGGCAACGAGGCCGGGTTTCACTGTCACGGTCAGCTATTTAAGCTTTTTTATTCGGCCGAGCGACAGTGACCAGTCGCGACCATGCTTCGTGCCGTGCTGTGCGTCTGTCTCCTGGCTTCCGCGTCGGCCGCTAGATCGCGCTCGCGGTCGGACGAATCCGTCGAGTCCAAGGAGGATATATCCATCGAGGAGGTTTCCAAGGAGTCCGGGTCCGCCGAGGATGAGTCCTCTGAGGAGTACGGGGTGAACCGACCCCAATCTCCATCCCAAATTAGTAGTAATGAAGAGGTGTCCGGCGCCAAGGTCTTCAGGGTCTCCATCAAGGATAAGAACGATGAGCGGGATTTTGAAAGGATCAGGAGCAAGGCCTGTGAGTATGTAAACATCAACTTCTGTGGGGTCCCGGAAGTGAATTCGTGGTTCAGGCAACGGTGGTTAAGGGGCGTGTTCATAGTACTAGGGCTGAAAGCCTGTATCAATAGTTGGATTACATTTTGCAGTAAGGAACCTCTACTTCGGACTCATTTTAGAAACATTCGTATGTGCCTTTCGTTTTCCTGTAGAGATAGGGGCTTCTATGAATGAAACAGAAATTTTAGTTGCGTATTGCAAAATGAAGTCCAACAGCTCTTTTTCTTAGAGGCGTGGTGATAAAAGAGATTTATTGGGATTTTGGTGGTGAAAAGAAATTTTTTCAAAGTTCACGTAAAACTCAGCAATATTAATTTGTAAATGGATCCTCAAAAGGGATTTCGATAACTCACCACTACCAAAAAAAAAAAAAAAAAAAAAAAAAAAGTACGTTTGTATCTACTTCAAAATTTACAAAGATCCGAATATATTTTCTATCTTATTTTGTACTTTTTGCAACGGCAAATTATTTTGTAATCCCATTCAAGGGTCCAATTCCAAAGTACATCGCTGAATTTTACTCGAGGTTTCCAAAAATTGCCCTTTATTATGCTATTTTGAGGGGTTAACAAACCTCCTTTAATCTAAATGTATTCCAAGGAGTGCCTCCTAAGGCAAGGAGCTTTATGGAGCCTATGATTACGATCCTAAGGGAGGTTTAAGGAGATCCTCATTATCACACCATAGAAATAGATCCTTCCAAGGGATTACAATTTCTTGCCTCCTCAAAAAATTTAAAATGCAGAATATATTTTTTTGTAAGTTCGGGAAATTTTTAAGGTAGGTTCGTTGTTCGTTCTTACCGCGAAGTTGTCAAAATCATTTCTTCCACACTTTAAAACATTTTCAGAGGCCAATCCTCCTGGTTCCTTGCTGCAAGAATCTAATTCTGAAGTGTTCGGTCTAACTTAACTCGAAATGCGTTAGAAGTGTCTTTTTATGGTGCGATATGAAGGATATCTCCTCGAACCTACCATACTGTCCCTTCATGACAATGTGAAGCGTATGGTACCTCCTAAGGGCTGTTTAAGGAACGCCTACAAATACTGCTCTTAGGGGTTATGCTCCCTTTCACTAGTTTCACCCTTGAAGTATTAGGTAACTTCCTTCGGTGACGAGGCGTGACAGATCGATTTTCGATATTTCCCCATTTGATGCTGTGGTAAAGAATCGATTATTAACGTGTTCGTTGCGAACACCCTGTTTATCGATCCTAATCCATAAGTTTAAATGACAGATCAATCGATAGATCGCAAAGCACGCCACGCCACTGTTTACCTGTAATCTCCGTCGAACCACATTACGCAGTGTCTCGCCGATGCCACAGACAAGACAACTGATTTCTCCACAAGTGAGTCTTTTGACTTACTTATCATTCTCCTGCCGGTGAAGTTTTACGGGCCATAATTTCCGATTTATTGCTGCTAATGACATGGGAAGGGCCGTTCTGCGATTCATGGCTCGGTTTATGGAAATACGGAGTGTCATAACACATGCGCAACTGTTTGCGCATGCGTAAACGAAGTTGCGGTGTTCGGAAATACGTTTGAGCGCACATTAAAAAAGTTAATATTAATTTTTGTTCCGATTGGAGGTATCATATTTTGTTGCCAACATTTTTATGAGTGCACCGCCATTTTTACAAAACATTCCTTTGAGTAATAGTTCCAGTGCCGTGGCGTGGCGTGTTTTGCTAGTAAGAGTAATAACGGGGTGTTCGCAACGGACACCTTAAAAATCGATTTTTCACTATAGCTTCAAATGGGGAAATATTGGTAATCAGTCATTCACACGTAAAATAAGCGACAGTGACTTGGTCCAAGCGTTATATTTTAGTCGGTATGTAAAATTATATTGACAATATGGAAATGAGAAATTGAGAGAGAAAGAGGGTTTTTTATGGTTGCTCATTTTCTAAATGAAATGTTATTACTTTCTCATTTTGAATCATCTTTTTAAATTGTCATTGATGAATATTTTGTTTTATTTCTATCCTTAAAATATTGAATGTACAATATACCTTATATATGTATAGGTACTTTTTTTATTTTTTTTATTTTTTCTTTACGAAATTATTACTTCATTTTGAAAACATTTATATTTTTAAAACGTGACAAATATTTGTAAACCCTTTTCCAAGCGACATTAATCTCAATGAGCCGCAGTTGTGCCGACAGAAACTGCAAAAATGAATAAAAGAGGAAAGAACCAAGAAGCACGCAATCTTTAGTTTTAACCCATTTGTACATCGATCTTTCAGAGTCAAATACATCAAATTTTCATCGTTTCGTTGCGCGTACACCTCGCTGCAGCACAATAAAAGCACAAGATGTAAAAGAAAAAATCAAAGTGCTTTGGAAATCATTAAATTTGACACGGAACCACCAATATTTAAAACACACACGTTATATTATTATTCTCCTTTGATAAATGATACATATTTTTTCCCATCAATTTAAATGAGAATAATCAAAGCAGAGTGTGCTAACATTTCAAAATCATGAGTTAAAAAACGCTGACTATGCGAGTATAAATATTAAAGCCGAACAGAGCGGAGCGGCGTGCTGCCAGCGCGAGAGGCTCACTGGCGCCTACAAACCTAAGTGGGTACTTCACGCATTGCACAATGTCTGAAGTATCCACTTAGGTTTGTAGGCGCCAATGCGCTTTTCGCGCTGACCGCTCGCCCGCCGTGCGGTGGCGCCTGAAGCAACTATATCACAACAGAGGTGTTGCACAGTATTATACGAAATTGAGCGTATTAAGAATCCCAGGCATCCTTAAAAAGTACAGATCTTTCTTCGCAAAATAAATCAAGATACTTATCGTACACTGGAAAAATCTAAGAGCATTTAGCTGAGGCAAATATAGAGGTTTATCCGGTTCAGGTATAACAAGGTGGGAATTTCTTGAGAGATAATTAAGTCCTGTTACACCAAAGAGGTGTAGAGAGTTTTAGTGAATTTTGTCTCATGGAATTGACGCTCCCCCATTTTTACCAAAACTCTCAACTATGTATTATTCTCCGTTGGACCAAACAGACAAAACAAAAAAACAAGCAATAACCCTCATTCTTCCAAGACATTATACATTTTCATCTAAAAACGTCGTGAGCAATTTTCGTTTGTATTTATATGTGGGCCAATTAACTTTGGGTCTCAAGTAGCACGTGGACCATAACTCCCGTGCCGAAAAAACGCGTGGACGTAAATTACTGGAAAAACAGGTGCGCAGACAAAAAATCGTTGACGAAATGTCCTACAACCAAGTATCGCACTGAGCTCAATTTGAGATTACCGGCGTTGAGATTATCATTTTTATCGACGTACATATTTTTTAAAAGTTAGTTAACTTTTCCAGACCTTCAACGTTGTAGAATTTTATAACGTGTTCAGAAAATCCTGCTATTTTTCCTTGCATTCAAGTATATGAAAGCTGAACAAGGGGCAGAGTATGTTCCATCGATGCAAATGCGGGGAGTTTTATTTGAATCTTTTTTTCAGTACGATGCAAACAACATGGGTGAATAGTGATTATTTTTGAGTTATTCAACATGCGTGGCTTTATCTCACGTAGGAGTAATTGAGGAATAGGAGTTATCTTAATCATTCCAAAAAGTGCTTACCGTGCGGGCTCTTTCATTAGCTTATATTCAAGTTGACACGCTGTTTTTTACCACTTCCGGGTCCATAAACTAGTAAAAGCCAGGAGAATTTACTTTCACAACGAGACTCATATTTCAGAAAGATAATTTTATGAAATGTGGATTTCTTTATTTATTGTTTTTGATCCTTCTTCAAGGAGAACATTTCTATCGTCTTTAAACTCAAACTCTGAGCTTATATCTTAAGTAGCACATAGCAACGAAAATATTGAAACATCTTCGCAATTTAATGCAATAAAATTGAAATAATTATACATCATTCGGTAAATTGGTCGATGGCCGAAGTACGAAACCACGTATCTACGTTTGCAACGATGCAGACTTCCTGTCATGCTTTATTCTTCCTGTGGAAAGTAGTGAGCGTAATTTCTTAAAAACTGCCTCGATCTTTCCTCTTTATCAGCAAAATATACTGTATGAATTTTCAATTTGTACAGTTGGCTTCTTTCTTTTCACAAAAAAAGGAAATTTTGAAACATCAAAATGGAGATACGTAGTTTTGAACTTTGGCCATCAAAAAGCGAATTCCGGACGCCCATTTATATACCTTTCAAGTCTGAGGTTGAGGCTTTATGCAATTGAGAAGACAAAATGTAACGTGTTTAAATTTCGTTGCGATGAAAGAGGAGCCCCTTCAATCAGCAAATAGACAACACGCACAATACCTCGGCACAAAAACAATTTTTTTTTTACTATTCAATTGCAAATAATTGCAATCAGTGTTTCTTAGGATTCTGAGTATTATTTTTCAAATCTGAGTCATCCAATCTACATTTCGTGAGAAATTTTTTTAGTCATTGATATGCTGCATCGGTCAAAATCAGACGTGGACATCCTGGTGCGACCATCGACTTACGAAAAGACCAAAGATCTCCTTCGTTCGACCAATCTGGACTACGAAGTCTTGATTGACGATCTTGGAAAGAGGATAGAACTTGAGAATCCTGCAATATCCGAGGAAACGGCTGAATTGGTTGGACGACAAGGTAAGTCACAGAAATTTTGTTTGACTTCATGGGATCCTCTAAACTACTCTAAAGGTATGAGGTTAATGGGTTACTAAACCATGAACAAATTTTGAATTGGGAATACCTATTTAAAAATAATAAAAAAAAAAAAAATCTGCTTAAAACACGATGCGCACATTAAAAACGCGAAAAAGTAACTCAGAAACCGAGGAATAAAAGTTCAAGAAACGCAACTTTTCAGCAAATGTAAAATGCCCCGGTTTCGCGCCAAGCCGACCCTGGTAAAAATTGGCGATAGGAGCTGCGTTTCAAAATACCACAGGAGTTCTTATAGCCGACTGAAGAAGGCGATAGAAAATCATATAGCTGGTTGTAGAAAGTGGAAAAAATCATACGGCCGGGCTACACGAAGCGATAAAAATTATACAGCCGGGCTATAGTTTTTATCGCCGGGCTTTACACTTCATCGCCTGGCTGTTGCTTTTTCGTCATCGGCTATAAAACTCTATAAGAAATTGTGTAGAAATTCGTGTGCTGTGTAAATCCTTAATTTTGTACGGAATCACCTTAATATTTACAAAACGCACGTTATATTATCCTTTACTACATATTTTTTTTCATCAATTAAAATGAGAATAATCCATAAACAGTGTGCAACATTTCAGAGTCATGAGTTGAAAAACGCTGACTCCACGAGATTAAACATTGGAGCCTAACTCAAAGCGGAGCGGCGCGCGGCGGCGCACTGGCGCTTACAAACCTAACAGGGATACTTCACGCATTGCGCAATGCGTGAAGTATCCCTGTTAGGTTTGTAGGCGCTGAGGCGCTTTTCGCGCTGGCTGCCCGCCCGCCGCGCCGCAGCGCACCACGGCGCTTGAAGCAACTATTTCACACCAGAGGTATTGCACAGTATCATACGAAATTGAAGGCGCTCCAACATATTAGGAATGGCAGGCATCCTTCAAAAGTACGGAACTTTCCTCGCAAAATAAATCAAGATACTACGACCCAAAAAGAGAGCGGTAGTCCAAAAACTCATTAAGTCCTAGCAACCGTAATTAGTAACGTTTAGCATACACTTTATCGCTAGGCTGTTGCTTAATCGCCATCGGCTATAAAAGGTTATAAGAAATTGTGTAGCCGGCTATAGAAGCTATTGGAAATCTTACAGCCGGCTGTAGGTCTATGGTATTTTGGAACATAGATTCTACTGCCAATTTTTACCAAGGGAATGATGTCATCCTCATCAGGCGCCACAATCAGGTGCAAGTATGGGTTTCTACCACTTCTGCGAAAGTGTTTCTACTCCTCGTATATGAAAACAATTGGAAAGTTGAAACTATACCCTCAGAAACAAAGAATTTAACCTCACTCATCGTAACTGTTTTAAAGAAGGAATACTTCCGCATTCATAACGTTCCAGTTTAACTAACATCAGTGGAAAATGAGAGGGGATAGCGATTTGACTGCCGTAGTACATCATTTCCATCATTTTCCGGCCATTCTGGCGTGTTTGAAATTCCCTTAGTCTTTTGACTTTTTGAAAGCGGCCTTGTCCGGAATTTTAGCTCTAAAAATACGCAATTAATCACCTCGTTATCTACTCACCTGGTACTCTCAGAATGTTAAAGAATAAAATATAAGGGTTAGGGACACATCATGCTTACACCAAAAGTGGTCTTGCGTGAGTGCCAGTGAATAACAGTGCCATCGAACCTCGTTTATTATTGAAATACTTTAAAAACGACAGTCAGTGCTTCTTATGGGATTTTCTGGAATTTCTAATTTTATTTTATTCTATCCTTTCAAAGCACGTGAAAAATGGGTGGCCAGGAGACTTAACGCGTGACGTATCCTGAAATTTTGTGGCTACACATCGACTATGAGACGTCTACTTTAATAGCTAATTTTCTTGAGACTTTAACCGTAGGTAAAGCAGAGCTTCCACGACTAGAATCAATTTAAAAATAGGACCTCAAAGATCACATTTTCATTAATTAGTCTGTTTCGCTGATGTGATAATTTTTATCACTATGAGACGTCTCTGAGAGAGGTAGGTAATTAGGTTTAGACTCAGTGGATGCAAGTCTCGATTTTTAAGTTTTCATTCATCAAAATGAAGATGAAGTTTGATAGCTAAACAGGGAAACCTTTTTTTTATCTCGATTGCAATTTTAAAATTCGTTCATACCCGCAGTTAATTTTTGGTAGACAATTCACACCCGTGGCGAGTTAGCAGGAAAAAGCCTAAGGACAATTCACACCCGTTCTAAAATAACGACAAATAAAATGGCATCTATGCGTCCAAACTCGAAAACGCACCAAACAATCAAGAAAAGATCTCTTCATACTTTAGGCCAACTTTATCTCTTGTTCAAAGCAAGTGAAGTATGGACAGAGGATGAAGTCGGCCCTAATAGGCTTAGGACTGTCAATAGTGAATGTTGAAGTTCCCTTTAACATTCCCTCAAGAGACGTGTTTAAAAATTTTGTCAGTCCATGACCGTCGTCAATGTATGAAATAAGGAACAAATAAAACAAGAGATTCACTTCGCAGCTTTTCGAGAGATAAATTTTACGAATTTATTTAGAAAAAGACGACTTGGTACTTTTTGCCGAAAACAACGTGCGAGTATTATCAAGGCAAGCTTAGCAGATCGCGTGATAAAAGATACAAATAGAAGTCTCATGTTCATCGATTTGCATGAGAGATAACTTACGAGGGCTGTCCCAAAAGAAACCGGACTTTTGTCATAGAAGGCGAACCGAGCGTCGTAATGAAGTTTTCTTGAGCTTGTTTGAAAGCTGATAAGCTACTGAAGATGCTTGTTTTTACAGAATGCAAAAATTCGTCTTGGTAAGGAAACTACACGCTTTGGATTAAAGGAAAGTCAAACTCGAGTTGCGATTTTTGTCTTTATTTCAAGAAAAACTTAGATACAACTTTAAAAAAACCCAGGTTTCAAGTTAAAAACTTCGTTGCTCTCTTATTCAAATGCTTGAAAATAAGAAAATTAACATTTTAAGCAGCTTACCAAGTCATAACCTATCCCCTTCAAAATACTTGCCAGCTTTGTCGATGCATTTTTTCCACCGTCTCTTCAACTGGGAGAAACACTGCTGGAAATCCTCAGGTTTGAATGATCGCAATTCCTTCAAGGTGACCTGACCTGGCTCCGTGTGATTTTTTCTTATTTCCACGACTTAAATCTACCTTGAAAGGTCGACATTTTCAAACTATTCCGGAAATTCAAGAGAACACGTGCACCTTGTAGGAATTGCGATCATTCAAATCTGAGGATTTCCAACAGCGTTTCTCCCAATTGAAGAAACGGTGGCAAAAATGCATCGACAAAGCTGGCGAGTATTTTGAAGGGGATAGGTTTAGACTTGGTAAGCTGCTTAAAATGTTAATTTCCTTATTTTTAAGCATTTGAATAAGAGAGCAACGAAGTTTTTAACTTAAAACCTGGGTTTTTTTAAAGTTGTATCTAAATTTTTCTTGAAATAAAGACAAAAATCGCAACTCGAGTTTGACTTTCCTTTATTCCAAAGCGTGTAGTTTCCTTACCAAGACGAATTTTTGCATTCTGTAAAAACAAGCATCTTCAGTAGCTTATCAGCTTTCAAACAAGCCCAAGAAAACTTCATTACGACGCTCGGTTCGCCTTCTATGACGAAAGTCCGGTTTCTTTTGGGACAGCCCTCGTATTTTCAATGGAATCTGGCAACAATTAGATAAGATGATGAAATCATGTGGTCCAACCGACCAATGGCATCATTCCATCTCAGCTTGGTCTCATCGTGCTCCGTCGATCAACTAGAGAGAGTAATCGGATAATGATTAATGTAGGGCTCATTGCCTTTTTTCAACTGATGCGGCGAACAGGGTGGCATAATTTCGTAGCATATTAAATTATACTTCGAGTTCAATCTAAACGTATCGATGGGGCTTTATAGTATTTATGAAGCATGGGTTAAGAAAAATTTTAAATCGCCGCTCGCAAGAAAAACAAGAGTCTACTCGAGCCGAAGCGCACCTTACGACGATTTCAGGAGGCTTTCTAATAGAGCAAGGTTCCCTCTCCACCTCCACCTTCTCTCCGCCCGTTGCTAAGATTGTGCAACTTCTTTTGTCTTGGATAACAAACCTGATCCATCGACAGTTTCTATTTTCCTCGCTGAAAGCTGTGAATCTAAGACAAAAATGACCATGTAAATTTCATATTTTTTCATGATTTCATTTTTTTTTACTGCAAAAGATGAATTTGCACAATCTTAGCAACATTTTAATGCTTCAGCGGGTCGATTGTTGAATTGTTATCGAATGACCTTGATCGATATATAGCATTGTGAAGATAGGGAGTTATCGATCAGAATCATTCGATAACGATTCAACAATCGACCTGCTGGTTCCTTTTTGCAAAGTACAATCCAATTAAGCGGAAGCGCCAAAATTGAGATACTCATAATTTTATACTGTAAAGACCGTTATTGTATGTTCACGAGTTAGTTTGCGATTTAACTAATGTATAGTTATGGTTTTCTCATGAGCAGTAAATTTAAATTTATCCACCGAAAACGCCAATATCATCGTTAGGAGTTACTCTCAGCAATTTTCGTTGTAAAAATCGTGTTCTACGTAAAATTTTGACGAGAAAAAATACATCATAATGATTCCACCTTGTTTGGTGGTCCATTTCGTTCAATCATTCATATCACCAAATAATCTTCATTCCGACGGAATGAGTGAGATGAATACTTCATTAAAAGACGGATAGTAGTCGAGGTCTTTGCGCGCTTATGAAAGCAACATCTCCTCAGACTAATGACATGAGGACACCGAGATGCCGGCCCCGCGGGAAGGCGCCGATCGCCGCGTGAGTAGTTGTGAGTGCAGAGAAAGCGAAAACGCCTTCAACTTCTCGTGACGCAACCCAGACATCCGAAGAGCACGTATAGTTGCATCAAGGCGCTACATACCGACAACGTCGCGTTTGCGTTGGAATCGTTCG